TCTAGGATAACCAGTTCTTCCCCAAATGGATAACAGTGCATTTGCAATCGTTGTTGTCTCAATGTTAGTTAGAGCTACAGCCTCTGGATATCTTGTGGCGTAGTCAATCATGGTTAGAATGTATCTGTAACCACGTCTGCTTGGCTTACAAAGAGGACCAACTATGTCAATGCCCACTCTGTAAAATGGTTCTGCAATTACCGGCATAGGGATCATAGGAGCTTTAATTTTATCCCTTCCAGTACTCAATCTTTGGCAGATATCACAAGACTGGCAAAACTCTTTGATCTTCTGGAACATGCCAGGCCAATAAAAGTTTTTAGTGATCCTCTTTGTGGTTTTCCTCACGCCCAGATGACCACCGTGAGGGTTCTCGTGTGTCGCCCTCATCAGCTGTTCTCTAAAACTTTGAGGCACTACAATCTGATTACATGTCATTGATCCTTCTGTTGACTTCATGTTTCTGGTTTCTCTATACAAGACACCATTCTTTAACACAAACTTGGAGGGCTGCCCTTTTGCTGATACTGTGAGGTTTTGAGCCAAAGCGAACAAAGGTTTTAGAAATTCATCTGCTCTTTGTTCCTGTTGAATTTCTCTGACTCCTCCTGTCTTCTTAATAAGCTCAGCAACCATAGTGCTGGATTCTGGATTCTCATCCCCCTCCTGTTGTATGGCGAAACACATGGCTTTTTGATCAGGGCTTTTGCTGTTATATTCTTCCTCCTCACACATCATTCTCCACTTTCCAATCTTTTTAGCCAGATCATTTCCAATTAAACACCTGTATGGTATGTCTGGACTGACTGCAAAATCCCACATACCCTTCCAACCTCCATATTCTATTGGCAAAGACACTACTGCTGTTGGTATTGCAGGTCCCAAGCCTTTTAATCTTATTTCAGAGGTAGGATGCTGAAATTTCTGAGGTATTATATCTGGATGTATAATACACACATCAGATCCTGTGTCCCGCCACCCTCTCATGTCTTTGTTGTCAATGGAAATGGATTCTAAGTAATCCTCAGTTGCGGTGTTTGACAAAATGAACAAACATTGTTTCTCTTGAGGCACCGTTTCCGAACTCTCCTTTGACACAGTATTTGGTTCTGTTTTCTTTGTTTCTTTTACTTTATTAACGAAGAGGGTTGTCTTTTCTTTTCTTAAAAGGGGACATTGATACCTTATATGATCCCACTTTCCACACTGAAAACACCTAATTTTTCCCTCAGGAGCAGTTTGACTTGTTACACTCTGCCTCCTCCAGGAGGGGTTTTCTATTGCAGGACCTTTTCCTTGTTGTGGGCGCGTTTGATGTTGGTAAAATGGCTGCCTGTTTGTCCTTTTATCATTTGGCAGATCTTCCCTTTTGAATCCTTCTTTTAGGGTAATTAATTGATCTACCATAACCGCTGCCTCTACTACAGTGGATGGCTTTCGATCCTGTACCAGCCACCGAAAATCGGAAGGTATCAATTGGAAAAATTGTTCCAATTTTAAAAGTTCTCTCAGTTGTTGGTAATTTTCCACCTCAGACGTCCTTAGCCAACTATCGAACAGTTGAGACAATCTAGAGGCCACCTGAGCGAAACTTTGGTTCTTATCTCTTTTCAGAGTCCTGAACTTGAATCTGTAAAATTCAGGTGTTAATTGAAATTTCTGTTGAACCTGTCTCTTAAATAAATCATAATCCCCATAGGACTCCTCAGGCATTTCTCCATATATTTCTAAGAGCTTTCCACTTATTTGAGGCCTTAAGTACGTCATCCATTTTTCCTCAGCAACTCCAAAATCTTTACAACATCGCTCAAACAAGGTTAGAAACTTCTCTATATCGTCATCCTTAGTAAATTTAGGAAATACTAGGTTCTTGTAGGTTTTTTCGAGCTATAGGGCCATGTTCTAGAGGCATTTCTCCTGACGTTTCGCCTGCATCTATGGCAAGCATCCTCAGAGGAAGTGAGGGGGGGTGGTGGGCTAATTTTTTGCTTTTGCAGTTCAATTTCCATTCTCCTCAATTCTATCTCCTGTTCTCTCTCTTTTTGTCTTTCCTCAAACTCTCTTTCCCTTTGTTTTGCCTCTATTTCCAATCGTTTCATCTCTAGTCTGTGCCATTTCTGACACAGACACTGGCTCTGTTTCTGCTTCAGAGCCCAAACTTCCTTCTTGGTCTCCCATTGTTTCCTCAACAAGTTTTTTCTGTCATCTGGTAGCCATATTTCAATAACTTTTACCTCACAAATTATTCTCAAAGTAGTCTTAAGGCACTCAATCAGTTGTTAATCGTATCCCGTCGTCTGCCACCAATTTGAAAAGAAGCAGGGGAGCTGGGGGATGATTTATTGTTGCCACCAATTTGAAAGGAACCAGTATTCAGGAGATTTTTCCCCAGTTCCCAATTTTAAAAAGACTTAGCCGACTTGCAATGGAGGTTGCCGATTAGGAACCAAATTTACCATCAAGTTAGAAGGGAGGCTGTTCAATTGCACCTCCTCCTTTATTAAGAAAGTAATAACTTAGTAATAATTACACTGTATATACTGTAGCGTGACTGGAGAGAAGAATGTAGATTTATTTGGTTACTTTTCCCTACGTTTCTGCCACCACGTGAGGTAAGTTGTAATATTGTGAGAAATTGCACTTTGGACTCAGAATAGACGGAGCTGAGGCAATCTTTAAATAAAAGTTAACAATTTTATTAAGTACACAGCGTGTGGTTGCAAGATGTAACTTTTCCTTGTTGCACTTG